TCGTCCTCCCACAGCCGTCTACTCGTTGGTTTCCATGCTAGGATCATGGTTTACGAAGCTGTCTAGGATAAATTTTCCTCGTGAAGGTCGAAGGAGGTTTTCTCACTACTCACTTGGTAAGGGAGTGGTGGTATAATTTGTTTCTTTTGCGAGATAAGGTACTTATATTGCAGAAAGTATTGTGGAGTTCAATATTTCTTTCTTTCTGGTTGACAGTTACATTGGTATCGGTTTCCGAAGTTTTGTTTTGCTGGGGGAGTAGTTAACTGAGGAAGGCAATATGGATGTGGGAAGGCTCGAGCTCTCCGATTGTGGGGTGATTGTATGATCTTTTATTGGATACCACAAAATGCAGAATGGTTTCATATACTCCCATTTCGACGTCAATAATTCGATCGTGAGCCTGCAGAGTTGACATTTTCAAACATCACAAGCCACGAAACAACCTCACCTCTTTACCGCTACCGTATCACATCATTCTGCAAGTAAGATCCACCCTACCCAGTCCACAGTCCCGGTAACAATAAACCAGCATTAAAAGTCTTCCAGATACATTTTTTTGTTTCACTTATCCCCCACTTGGCGTTTAAACCAGGTCACCATATTATGCCCCCAAGCTTAAGGTGATCTTGTATCATGTCCATTCCACGACATCTTTATGGAAAGTCACATCTAGTTGACCTACATAACACAAAACATCCTCGCCTTAAGTTTACTCATGTATATATACATCAACCCATTTTCCTCCCAAGTCTAATCCATGACCCCGCTCACAACCTCGTATTTTATTCTGATATCCAATCATCCCACCCCACCTCACCTCATCATCTTACCGCGCGCAAATCATACCGCGGGTGTGTTGCGGGGGGGTTAGGGTTGAACCAATCAATCCTTGTTTCTTTCCTTTGAGAAAAGTTTGTATTTCCCCAAACCTGGTACCTGGGATAACCTGGCATCCTGAAACACGCCCAGAGATCTATATCGGTATCCTCTATAAACCCCGCAACTTAAGAAAGAAGACCCAATAAAACCCCACCCACAAAGAAGCAGGGCTCAATTCACAACCATCCCAGCAATCAACAAATCCAACGCCGAAAACTGCCCCTGCGGTGTTTCCTGCGTGAAAGGGCCGAACCAGTTCGCGTCGTAAGCGTCTCCCTTACGGGCGTTGGTGTAGAGCATGTTATAGTTGGTGTTAATGAAGCCTTTGATTTCTTTCTTGGTGTCTGGGGATGTACCCGGGGTGATGTAGAGGTTTGTTAGGGCGCGGAGAAGGATTGCTATGGGGTTTGTTAGTGATGTTGAGGGAATTGGGAAGGGGGGGGGGGAGTTACAGCGGAAACCGATGCCGTCGTTGTTACTGGTTGCACCTCTGGATTCGGTGATCATTCCTTTTCCGTCTGTCCAGATTGTTGTTTCCATTGCGGATGCGGCGGCCTCTTCGGCTTTTTGGAGGTAGGAGTGGTCGTTGGTGTTTCTGTATAGAGATGTAAAAGCGGCGATGAAGACGGCTGTTTTTGGTGTGCGTTAGCTATGGATGGCGAACACTGTGGGAGAGAATATACCGGTATTGTAGGTGAAGGCACCGGGATTGACAGAGCATGTCTCTCCGTTAACTCCATCCTGATCGACGAGTTTGACATTTCCATCCATCGTATGCCGCCTCAACCACTCCCCCGCCTTCTCTGCGGCTTGAAGATACTTCCGGTCGTTTTCTATCTCATACAAACGCGCGGAAACCTGCATGAACAATCCCGTAGTGATGGAGTTTATATAAGTCTCATCCTTTTTTATTGTCCAGTACACGCCGTTCTCGAGCTCACATTGGTCCGAGACAACATGATCCCGCTTTATACCGCCCATGTCCGGTGCGATCCCTGTCTGCCGAATCACGGAGGTGCTATTAACCCACGACCATAGCCGTTTCGCTTCCTTCAGGAATTCGGAATTTCCGTATGCTTTAGAAGCGTCGAGACATGCTAGCGCCCACCACAGATCGTCGTCGTTGAATTCATTCCGGAGGCCTTGCGAGTCTTGCTGGTTGGGATCGCCGAGGGGGATTAGAGCGAGGAGTGCAGCGCCGATGATATTCCGGTGGTTTGTAGACGATGTGTGGAGATCATCCGCGATTATGGCTGTATACGCGTTGGCGGATTGCCACCAGAAGATGCCAGAGAAGGTCTTGTTGTCTGATTCGAGGCGGGAGAGGAGGCGGGATATGGCGGAGGATGCGGTGGAGGAGAGGGAGGATTCAGTATGTGTTATTTTCGTGTTTGAGAAGTCGGGGATGCGGGAGGCGTTAAAATCTGGGGGTTGCGAGACTTTTGCGGTGTGGGTGAGGATGAGGGGGAAACTTTGCGATCGTGGGATTGATAGTGCCCATTGTCGGTCGTTTGTTTTTCGGCGGGTTGAAAGTGCTGGTAAGGCTGTTGTTATGGCGGCTAGAAACGTGGTGAGAATGAGGAGGGAATGCATCAGAAAGGCAAAGCACGAATCGTACAATCGATAGTAGGAGTAGTTCACCAAACAGAGAGCAATCCGTCAATCGTGTCTGAGAGTAATAATGGAATCTAAAACCTCTTCTGTAAGGTCTTTATACGTGCACAATCTTGATCTCGGCCGGGAACATACCTGCTATATTTTGTCTGATACCTGAAGTCATCTGAAGAAAATCATGTTCATTTCCCGTTTGTAGCTCCCCGGCGCCACAATTCATCGAGGAGAGGCTCGTATTTGGCAGGACAGTGCAACTCCGAAACAACACCATTACATCGGGGTTGCGGTTGGTGAGGTGCGTTTGATATCATTGTCGATGATGGTCCCTGCGTTGAGATTGTGGTTGTGGTTGGCCCAATGACGGAACGCCGCGGTAAGGGTAGCGCCGGGAAGAGGCGAGAGCAGCCGAGTCTGGGTGACACAAAATTTGCCTAAATGGTGCGCGCAGCTATAGACCTACAAGTCGGAAGCTGCCGGTGCAGCAATATTCGAGCCCTCTCGATTGTTGAAGTTGTGAAGGTTGTAACTATTGGCTCTGTAGTTCAGTCTGAATACTAAGCCTCAACAACTTTGCAGAGCGGCTTCTGCTCAACAGCTTCTGTCCCAACACAGTGGCGATTTTTTGTTGAGACGCCTACGTAATAGAGCTTGTACTTGGACAACAGCGTTTTGCTCGAATGGGTACTCGAAGTTAAATGGATCGAGTATTACTGGGGTGCCTGCAAGCGGAATATATATATATATATTGTGACTATTGTAGGAAACCACTCATTTGCAAGCATCATAGACTTCTGCTCTAGTACCATTGGCATGCCTTGCTAACAAGATCAAGGCCTGCGCAAGACCGTCCCTAGGGCTTTAGAGTCAGTCAGCGGATCACTGATTCACAAGTTTTGGGAGCGTACACAGAGGGTCATCGAAGCATATTCTAGTGGTGCAGTCTTTGGTGATGCAGAATACAAGCAGAAAGTTTATAAAAGTCACCGAAGAGTTCAAGCTGTCAGAGCTGAAAACACCGCAAAACAAGATTGATTAGGTTTGCGAATAGACTATAAGTTCAGATCATCTAGCTGACCACAGTTAGTCCACCCCGCAGTCCACATCTTCGGATGATACTCCGACATGTAGGTTTATGACTGCGCGCACCATACAGCTGTCAGGAGCCAACTCCATCGAATGGCAACAGCCGCATTCGTGTCGTATTCCCCTCGGAAACTGCACGCAATAGAACCCGTTAGCCGTGAACACCGCAATCAACCTTAAATTACGACTGTACTGACGGCTGACCAAACGATACAATCTAAAAGACAGTTCCCCTACTTTCACTCTCACTCAGTCGATAAGGTTTAACGTTCGAGATCCGAGGAACCCAACCTCCGCGTACTCTCCCGCGGCGAAGTTCCCGCGGCGGCTCATAATGCGTCAGTGCGCATAACCGCCGCGGGGAAGAAGGTTACAGCAACCGCTCTAGTTCCCAAAGCCGTGGCTGCACCCGGTAGTATGTGCGTCATGTCGCAGAACCGCTTGCCGCGGAGAGTAATCTCCACTCTCTCGGGGCTTCCTCCCATTATTTTCCCAACTTCACTACCATTTTCCCCGCTTGAATTGTGTGTTTCAGGTCACTTCGTCGCCCAACGTCGTCGCCGCTATTTCCTTCCTACCTCATTGTCGTGAATCTGCAGTATGACAACCGCAGAATTACCTCCTTGCGGAATCGAGAGCGAGTTCAACGGCGACGGTGGCGGCGTTTGTTCACCAAGGGCGCACCAAGGATATTGTGCGGAAACTCGCGAAGTGGTACGGTCTAACTTCCAAATTAGCCTAATAAATACATTCTCCAACTATATAACAAGTCAAGGTGGTGGAGTGGTTAACACGTTCGCCTGCTAAATTGGTAAAGCGGATGCCTTCGGGCGCGCAGGTTCGAATCCTGTCCTTGACGAGTTTTTTCGCACACCTGTTTTGTATTCTCTTTTTCGGGGATGTAAATGGGCGTTGGTGATGGCGTTTGGTGGTCGGGAGGGAAGAATGAGGTTAAGAGTTTAGGGAGGTGCATGGCTTATCACTCGAAGACGCTGGTTTTTTTTGTTGTTACATATGTACAAGGGCCTGATACAGCTGGCTGTAACCGGGGCTGATGCCTCCTGTATATATCTCGAGTGTCTGTCCTTCTCTCTCTCTTCTCTCTGTATCTTAGTCTATACACACGGTTCTCCCCATATCGTAACATTTGTTGTATTGACAAATGTTCTTGCGAAGTACTGTGCGCGATGCCCGAGGCGTACGGCCTAGGCCAATTTTGCCTGCGTACAGGGCAGAAACGAAGGGCCATAGGTGCAGATGGATGTAACGTGGGAGGGGGTGAGCTCGGGAATTCGAGGAGAAGGAAGACGACTGCACATAACCACATCCAAGCTCCGCAGCAAAAACACCTGAAAAAAATTTGTTCAATTGCTTATCCCAAATCTTCGACAACAATCTGACCATACCATAAGAATACCATACCGTACGACGCTCATTTGTGGAAGCACTATCGGGATTTCCTCCTCCAAGAATCTTTGCTCACTCACAAACCCCCAAGCCCATAAACAATCCGCATCACGAAACAAAAACATTCTCCCACCCTTCATCTTCATCTTCAACATCGACCTCAATCCACTCACTTTCTGCCGACAACGCACCCTTCTCGCCGTCGAATCCCCCTTCCAACTCCTCCTCATCAGCTTCATGCAAAGTTTCAAGCCGACGCATATTGTCCTTCTTCTTAACCGTACCATCGCCGACATCCGTAAACCCACCACCAGTCACATCAGATCCTTCCGTTGTCTCACTCTTCGTATCCCCCTCCTTCCCCCCAATCTTAACATTCAACCCCCGTAGCCTAGTAACTAACGCGTTAACCCTTCCAATTTCGCTCCTGAGCACATCTTCAGCACCCAAAAGCTTCTCGCTGTGCTGTCGGAGTGTGGCGTAGTGGCTGTTGAGACGGGAGCGAAGAGAGAGGAGATTCGTTGCGGCGGTGGTGGACATGGTGGTGTTGTTGTGGTGAGTGGGGCAGTTGATATGGGGGAGGGAAGAAGGGAAGAATGGAGGTGGGGTGGGGCGGAAGGAGTCGAATCGCTACTGTGGGTGAAACGGGTGGTTGGCGGTTACTAGAACTGGACAGGTCAGAAGGTGCAATAGGATATTGAGTTTCTTGTGTGTAGAGGAGATACTGACCTTCAGTTTACTGAAGGTTCTGCCCGACAAAATTTGGGGGGGAAAAGATCGATCGGGGTTCGAAGCGTGAGTAATCGTTTGTCGGCAGCGAGTGATATTTGGTGATTCGAACCGGAACCATAGAGCCATGGTGGATAGTAGTGTGCGGGGTAAGAGGTCCATCCCATCGCGCCACCAGTAGCCCAGTTAAAAGAGCTATGTTTTTAAAATTGTGAAGCCATTGATTGGGCTACTTTGTCGACCAAGCTCCACACTGGGACTGGCACTTCGTCTAATGTAGATAGCAGTCAGGGGTGTTCTGTGTTAACAACGGCTAACTGTAATGGAACGGAAGGAAATCTACGCTGATCTGCTTTAGCATCATGTGTTGTCACTGATGTCAAACCTCCCGCGAAAACCCCAAGTCTACAACTTCCTACTACGCCATGTTACCTCCTCAATCACCAACAATCAATCCATCAAAGGTAAGTAAGAAATACCTGGCTCCAAAGCTGATAGAGATGCAAACTGATAAGCAAACAGATTCTGGCTGTCTTTTACTCAAGGCGAAAGTGCAATATTGCTTTCTCGACCTTCCCTTAGACCTACACGCATGTCTTCTCTCTCAATTGCTCAAACAAGAGTCTATTAGCAGTGTCTTCCCAACCCCCCGATGAAATCGACGACAAAACCTCCAGATAACGCAGCGCTCCATGATGATCCATCACCGATACCTAGATCACAACAATTACTAATAAGCCCCTTGCACCGGTGTTATTTGTTCCGACTTACATATTTTTGCCGTCACAGGCAGCATCAATCCTGGACTTTCAATGTGTAAACCACGCTCCGAGACGTTTCTCCGATCCCAGCTCATGCATCAATTGTACCACCCACCAAGCATTTCTCACGGTATGCATCTAGAAAGTTTCTCAGTTCTCATCACCTATTCAGGCACCATCTATGGGAGGATGTGGAATACAGATGGATTGCTGTTGTTGGTTCCCCTCAACACAAGGGAGAAGCTGCTATTTCCACATGACTATTGGGTATCAATTCACTTTTGCACTCAATTCTTTTCGGAAAATGTGATTCTGCGAGCTTAGCGTCATACTAGTCATCTAACAGTAATATGTGTGCGCAGGGAGTCTTGGTACGACAAAGTCTATCTGCATCAGTTATTATTGTACGAGTGATGCCTTGTGCTACAGATATCGCTGCGCGTTTTTCAAGGCACCTAGTGATGTCAGCCAATACCAATCTACTCAGAATTTCGCTTACATTGAAGAATGTTCCACCATAGAGGCAAGGGGTGCCGATATCAAGATGGGAAAGCTTGTGTAACATTATACAACGAATCGCCTACGGATATATTAATGTGACACAAAGCTAGGTAGGTTCTGTTTCAAAGGCAAACCTTTCGGATACTGACTTCGCGATATATCTATCGATATAGAATTTGTACCCTCAGCACTCTACATGCCAATGAACCTGCAATACCGTAGAATCTGGCGGTATCTGGTTTATCTGTAGTACCGCAGGACGCTCGATCTTTTGGAAGTCCATATACCTTCGCAACCCCCAGGGAGAACAAAGACCGCTATTGGGGCCTACAAATAAACCGGATACCGTCAGACTCTACGGTAGTGTTGTCACATTATAGTCGGTACCGAGGTTTGGCATACTTTAAGGTAGTCTATCAGACTAAGAAGCTTAATTGGTCCGAGGTGGTGCGCTTCATTCTGAGCGCCTGTACCGGGTACATGCTTGCCTGGGCGGTCAAATCTTTCGCGGCGTATTGGTTTGCTGGCATCCTGTCAGTGATAGCTCCATTCCGTCCACCATCTCTATAATGCGTACTGATACCAATCAGAATTCCTATACCACAGATTGGGGATACCTACACAAGTAGTGCAAGATCGGTAGATATTGTTTTCAAATGTTTCAAAAAACGCGTCTTACGTATTACCAGGCACCACGTGTACAACGTACCATCCGGATGTTACAAAGATACCCGTTTAAATAAACGTAGCGCCCTTGTCAGGCCAAACGTGACATTCCGTGCAGATTCCAAGACATTTCTCGGCCGGTACGTTCTGTACGACAGTCTCAACACCACAAACGGCAATTATACCGGCCAGTTTATTCCATACATTATTCCAGAATCTTATTCGCGCATGTACCGACGTTTAGACATGTGGAGAAAGTTTAACTAACCCGGAAAACCAGGCGGACAAGATGACCTTTCCCCAATCAACGACTTGCCAGAAGGCTTGCCGACTCTATATCCGGAAGATGGGTTGAAGAGGCCCAAAGTGATCTGCTTCAACAATAAGTGATCTGCTTCAACAATAAGTGAAATTGCCGAGAAGGGAAATCTGCACTGTCTGACTGGGGCTGCCTGGAATTTCGGCTCCAAACGGGTATTGGCTTGGAATTGTGCGAAATCACGTGAACCAGAATGTGAGCACGGGAGGTCATGTTTACTCCAAGATGGATTGTTGGGTACGTGTCCACTGTAAATTCTTGAGGAACGGCGAAAACTGAAGAGATGTAGAGAGGCGATCTGCGGTCATCTGGATCAAGAAAGAGGAAGAGAGAAACAGGGTTGCAACATATGGAAGACGATGTTTGGTTCAGTCTCTGTAAAGAGAGAACTTGTATGTTGCGCTAATCCTGAAGAAAGATAGGCGCGATCACGTGCCAACGGACGCCTTATCTCGAACTACACCACTTTTCATCCACCACCTTCGGGGACTCACTTCTCAAGTTTCGCAAACCCCAACGTGGCACCACCGACTTCTTACTCAAAATTACATATAACCCTAACCGCAATCCCTTGCAGGAGGATCTCCGTATTCCAAAAACGGCTATGACAGCATGCAGGTGGGTCAATACCAGAACAAGGTATGCCCTTGCGTGTGCGTGGAGAAAACAAGAAGTTTTGTGGACCAAAATGGCGGGGGTTACACGAGCGCTTTGGTGTGCTGTTGTGCTCCCTGTAAGCAAGTTACGGATGATACTAATTATTCTAGAACAACGCGGTTTCAAACGAAGGAACTGTATGGTGCGGAGAAGCGATGGACCAGTACCTCTCTCTAATCGCGCCTAGAGTAGTGGTACTCTATATATGAGCTGCATTGGCGAGTAACCACGGTCTTGTAGTGTGTAACACCCCTGTGGTCAGACATTCCGCACATCGCTAAAATTCGCCTCTAGATATTGACGACATGGATGAATACGAGGTCTCTAGCAATGAATTGATTGGCAATAGATGTAACAATAAAGCCGATCCGAAACTATGAGATTGCTGATCTTCCGGAGACTGTTATGAAGAATCGCCCCCGCGCTCTTTCCGTCCTCTTTCTCCTCCATTTGACGTCGAACCCCGGGCACCAACAAGCTCGCAACTCGCACAATGATGGAACACTCACGACATCACACTCCTTACGCCTCAATGTTCACATACCTAATATGTGGGCTTGTGTTGTTTGCGTCCTCAGCTAACGGCGTTTTGATGAACGAAACTCACTTCAAACTCAATGCATCCTCGTACAACCCGGCCATTGCCCTCCTTGACGGTGTTCTCACCAAAGCCAGTATTGCGGATGTCCTCGACGCCGCAGACTATCAACCCCTCGATGCATCCGACTTCATGCGCCAAACGCCCTTTTATCTTAAAGGCTTCCGGTGGGCCCAGAGGACCCCTGCGGACGAGTCGAATACAATCTGGCAGCCTCAAGGCATCAGTACTTCATACGACACAGGCTTTGCCGGCGGTGTGGTACACGGAAATAGTGACGTCCTCGTTGTCTCATGGAACGATCAGCGCAATAAAACTGGGGCAGCGACAGAAGCCGGGAAAGGAGTACGGGTTACATTTGTCAGGAAAGGCACCGCCGATAATATCCCCGAAAACCGGGGATATATTCACGCATTGCTTGTGGAGCCGTTTGTGACGGATGGAAAGCCGGACTTTAAAGAGCTGCAGAACGTCATCAGCGGCGGTATTGTGTGGAGGGGCGATTGGTTGTTTGTTACAGACGACAAGCTGGGAGTGAGGGTTTTTGACTTGACTCATATTTGGAAAGTTAAGCATGCAACGGGTGGGGGCGTGGGAAAGCAGGGAAACGATTATTGGGGAGGTGAATATCCTTATGTTATTCCTCAGGCACAGTACGTTTATCCTCTAACCCTCATTTATTGGCTTTCCTGGCCTTGGGGAAATGTTTATTGTTCGCGTACGTATCCAATTGGATGTTGTTTCGCTCACATGTTGATTAGAGTCTACAACACCGTCCTCCCCAAGGGCACAACCTTCGCCCCGCACATCGCCTCCCTCGATCGCAATAGCACTCCTCCCTGTATTATGTTCGGTGAATCTACCTCACCTGGAAAAAACAGCACCTTTGCAAAATTCCAGCTTGACAACGACACAAATCTTTTCAATCCCGACACTTCCAATAACACCATAGTTACCGCACAATGGGCATGGCAAACAAATATCCACAACGCGGAAGGCCTTGTCTTTGCAGACGACTACTATTTCATAACCAGGTAGGCGGTTATCCTAGTCATGGAAGGAAGGTTACAATACTAATGGTTAGGGTTTCAGTAATGACGGCGACGACATTCAAGGAGATCTGTACCAATGGCAACCCGGCAGCTGGGCTACAACCTACGCAAAAACATTCCCACCTGGAGTGCAAGGAATGAGTTACAAACCCGCGGGAGACGAATTGTGGGTTGTGGGAAACATTCCGGGAAAGAGATACATCATGGCTCTAAACGCGAGTTTGAAGAACTCTACAAACATCGTCGATACCACAAATACCACCGAAACAGCAGCTCCAGGGTCTACAGTAACGGTAGAACCACATTCGGGTGGGATGGCGGCCG